CCCCCCCTTGTCCCACACCAGCCGCCGCGAGTTCACCTTCGGGCCTTGGAAACTCAGCGCCGCCCAGACCCACATCATGAAATCTGCCCAGGCCGAGAGGTGGGGGCGGGCGGCGGGCCGGCGGGGGTTGGGCTGCCTGCCCCCGCTCTACGGGCTGCGGCCGGGCGGGCGCCCGTGGACGCTCTGAGTTGTCAGCCTGAGGTTTGAGCCCGGGTCTGACTCGGGTCAGCAGGCCCCCGGGATTTGGGCGCTAACGTCTGGGCTCCTGCCCTGTCATTGTGCATAAGGCTCCAAGCGCTGTCATTCCGCAGTGTGGATACAGCTTAAACCACAACCCATGTGCGGTCTGTGGAGAGCAGCTTGGATGCAATAGCACAGGTGTCGGACCTCGGGCCAGCGATTGTAAATCTAGGTGTTTGACGCCATGTAACGGTTGCTCAGACATGAGCTTGGAAACATTAAGGCTAAACTAGAGACCTTATATAATGGCACAGCTGTACCACTTTGTCTCCTGTGTAGCTAGCTATGATGATAGAAGGGCTTAATTAAACTGACCCCCCGCCCCCAAGCACCGGGAGCTAGGGATGTAAAATCCTGTTCAATAAGTTAACCAGTTAAACATTAAGCTGCTGTTACCTGGTATGCATCACCTGTTAAGGGTGATGCTTACTGGGTAGTTGGTTAACCAGTTACTGCATCCTGCTGGGGATGAGAAATGGTGTCACCAGTAGGGATGCAAAAGTATAACCATTTAAATGGCTAGCCCATAAGCCTGGTGTTAGCAGTTAATATTAACAGTTATATGCAGGCTCCCACCTTGCTCCTGGGGAACCGGCTGCCACCCTGCACTACTGGCTCTAGCAGTTATACAACTACCCACTTTTTAACATCCCTAGTTGGCAGGAGAGGCTCTACCCAATGACATAGCACTCGCTGTATCAGTGCTTTTGTGGATTAAATGTATGTTGGTGGGGGTATGTGTGTTCCACACTCCTGACCAATAAAACTTGTACTGATAAAAGTGTTAGTGTAGACATAGTCTGAGTCCATAACCATTGGGCCTTCAGACCTGGGTTTACTACATAGTGTAGGCAAAAACCTTGGCAAAACCCAGCTATCTTCTCAAGAGCCACAGCAAAGAGCACTACTAATAAAAGGGAACCCCAATAAATGTAAAGTGCATATTGCCACCATTTGGGGTCAAGAATTTCTTTTGCATCCTTTGTCTGATGTTGTGGGTCATCTTTTTGTTTGAGAGGTAGGGATGTGGTGTTTTTCTTCTTCTTCCCAAGGACATTTATTGTGGACTCTTCAGCTCATGTTTTCTTACCAAATGGACCACATGCCTTTTCAGATGTGGCAACAATTTCTGTTTCTATAAAGCAGTAGGAGAAACTGCTTCCTTCAGACTTGACTATTGTTTGTTTGAAACCTGAATGTTAAACTAAATATAAATAGTTCAGATACTAACAGTAATATTTGAGTTTGTTTACAAGCAACTTTTTTTTGATAGTTTGTTATCTCTGGATCTCATATCCTATAGTAAATTAAATCTGTCATACTTCAGCTATTTTAAGTCTCACCAATATAGGACTTTCAGATTGTTGCATTAATTTTTGTGAGATTCATTTGCTTATCATAAACTTATTTTGGAAGGTACTCTTTGTATAAGTCTGCCTTTTATTCAAATGTTTGTAAAGTCCTGAATAGACTTTTAAATTAAAAATGTCATTTTATTGAATTGCATTCCATAGCAAAGTGTATGATAAACATGAGGAGATGAAATCATAAGGTTATGACATTATTTACCAAACTATCTGGGAGTCATAGTCATACAGCCAGATCGCATGGTGTTTGTTGTGAGCTGCACAAACACAGTGCAATTCTACTCTTAGGAGCATTTTTTGCACTCACTTTTTTCTCATTCTATCTGTGCCTGATGTGTCTATTTACAATTACAGACCGGTAAATTTACCAGGTAAATTAGTTGAAACTATAGCAAAGAATAAAATCATCAGACACATAGATGCACATAATTTGTTGAGGGAAAGTCAACATGGTTTCTAAAAAGGGAAATCATTCTTTACTAATCTACAAGAGTTATTTGAGGGGGGCCAACAAATATGTGGACAAGGGGGATACAGTAGATATAGTGTACTTAGATTTCTGGAAAGCCTTTGACAAGATCCCTCACCAAAGGCTCTTAAGTAAAGTAAGTTGTCATGGGACAAGAGGAAATGTCCTCTCATGGAGTGAAAACTGGTTAAAAGACAGGAAACAAAGGGTAGGAATAAATAGTCAGTTTTCAGAATGGGGAGGGGTAACTAGTGATATCCCCCAAAGGTCCGTACTGGGACCAATGCTATTTAACCTATTTATAAATGATCTGGAAAAAGGGGTAAACAGTGAGGTGGCAAAATTTGTAGGTGATGCTAAACTGCTCAAGATAGTTAAGAACAAAGCAGATTAACAAAGCAGACTGTAAAGAGCTCTCACCAAACTAAGTCAGTGGGCAACAAAATGGCAAATGTAATTTAATGCTGGTAAATGTAAAGTAATGCACATTGGAAAAAATAATCCAAACTATACATACAAAATTATGAGGACTGATTTAGATATAACAACTCAGGATAGAGATCTCGGAGTCATTTGTGGATAGTTCTCTGAAAACATCCGCTCAATGTGCAGCAGCAGTCAAAAATGCAAACAATGTTAGGAATAATTAAAAAGGGATAGAGACTAAGAATATCTTATTGCTTCCATAAAAAACTATGGTACACCCATATCTTGAAGACTGTACAGCTGCAGTTACCTCATAAAAATATATTGGCATTGGAAAAGGTTCAAAAAAGGGCAATACAAATGATTAGGGGTTGGAACAGGTCCCACATGAAGAGAGATTAAAAAGACTGGGACCTTTCATCTTAGAAAAGAGGAGACTAAGGGGGGATATGACAGAGGTCTATAATATCATGACTGGTGTGGAAAAAGTGAATAAGGAAAAGTTATTTACTTGTTCCTATAGTGGTCACCAAATGAAATTAATGGGTAGCAGGTTTAAAACAAACAAAAGGAAGTTTTTCTCCACGCAGCACACTGTTGGCCTGTGGAACACCTTGCTAGAGGATATTGTGAAGACCAGGACTTTAACAGGATTCAAAAAAGAACTAGATCAATTCATGGAGGTTAGGTCCATCAATGGCTATTAGTCAGAATGGGTAGGGATGGTGTCCCTAGCCTCTGTCAGAAGCTGGGAATGGGCAACAGGGGAGGGATCACTTGATGATTCCGTTCTGTTCATTCCCTTTGGAGCACATGGCACTGGTCTCTGTCAGAAGACAGGACACTTGGTTAGATGGATCTTTGGTCTGACCCGGTATGGCCATTTTTATGTTCTTGAATCTTGAATTATTCCTGCTTGCTATGGTGACTAAAATAACTGTTACTGCATTTTTCACCTGATAGGTGTGCAAAATAGGGATGTAAAATCTCTTTTAATTTGATACCTGGTTAAACATTATGTTTAACCAGTTACCCAATTAAATGGTGTGTGTGGGGGGGGGTTGTCACCAGCTCCCACTGGTTAACTGTAATCGGTAAGACTCACCCATTAAGGGTGAGGCTTACCCGTTAATCATTCACATCCCAGATGCAAAATGATTACATTTACAAAAGAGAGATGTTTTCTTGTCTTTCTAATTTTGTCTGCATAATAGATTCACTAAAGATATTACTATCTTATCAGGCTTTCCCACTGTATGCCTTACCAGTATTTTTCAAGCTTGAACTGCATGGTCCTCTTGTAGGGAGAGAAATCTAATTTTAGTCTATGTTGCCCACTCAGTCTTTGGTCAGTGTAGTTACGAAGTACTGCAAATTTAGATTGCAACTTTATTGTTTTAACCTCTTTGTCCAATACAGATTAGCTGAAGAATTGCACATGCCTTCCCTCCCAGAAATGATGTTTGGAGACAACATTCTCAAAATTCAGCATGATTACGGCTTTGGAATTGAATTCACTGCAATAGATGCTTTAAAATGTGTAAATAAATATCAAGGTATGATTAAAGTGGCCTGTGCAGAGGAATGGCAAGAGAGCAGGTGAGCAATATTACCACAGTAATAGGGCACGTGCTAATATGAAGGGGGATGAAGTGTGATATGGTGGCTAATGCAGAAGACTGGAGCCTGCATCTTATCTTCTATGGACATCTTACTAGATTGCTAGCCGATTTTCAACTCAAGTGTATGAGACAGGGAGTTTGTGGGGTGGGGAAAGAGACAGAGTATGTTTTGGGGAGGTGTATATGTGAGAGGCAGTGTGTATGTTGCGACAGAATGAGCATGTTGTCTTTTTAAGTTCATACTAGGGCTGTAAAATCCTGTGTGATTGGTTAACCGGTTAAATAGGAAGTTTGTCTCTCTTTTAACCAGTTAAGGGGGGGGCACCACAATATAGCTGGGCTGGAGTGACTCCTTGTTTCTCCCACACCGTGGCTGGGCTGGAGCAACCCACTGCCACAGGCAGGAGCAGTTCCTGCCTGTGAAGCACCCAGGCCTGCCATGGACAGGGGCTGCTCCAGACACCCCCTCTGTTGCTTTAACTTTGCTGCAAAATGTTCTATTCCTCCTGTAAAATTTTATTTTATCAGCAAAACAGGAGAGTTTTGCTGACAAAAGAACCATTACAATGTGTACACTTCTACTGTTTTGTTGGCAAAAGCTGCCTTTTGCTGACAAAACTCAGTACAGCTACTCCCCAAGTTACGACACCTCCACTTACGACCAAAGCGGTCATAAATGTGGATCCGAGTTACGAACAGCGTTCTGCGCTTACGAACAGCGCGGTTGCCATGTAAGTCTATGGGATCTGAGTTACGAACACTTCGAGTTATGGACCAAGTGTTGGTCCGTAGCTTGTTTGTAACTCGGGGAGCAGCTATAATGTAGATGGCTTTTCTGTGCTTTAGGGTATGTCTGCATTTAATAGCTATTTCGGGATACCCCACATCTACACAAGCCGCCTGTTATTTCGAAATATTTTTTGAAATAATGGGCATGCTGTTTCAGCATCCCGGTAACCCTCATTCCACGAGGGTTAAGGGATGTCTCGAAATAGCACGTTATTTCGAAATTTGGTGCTGAGTAGACGTGCCAAATGACGAAATAAGCTATTTCAAAATAAATTCTAAATAAGATATGCAATGTGCGTAGCACAAATTGTATATCTTATTTTGAGATTAGGGTTCTGTGTAGATGCATCCATAGTCTCTCATCTGTAAAACTGGGATGGTTATATTTCCCGAGTATTGTGGCTGATTTAACACTTGTAAAGACTTTTGTTTGATTCTGCTGCCATTTTAGTCAGTTGAAAAATTCCTGTTGTGACATGACTGTTACAAGATTTCATATCTTAAGGTGAAAGGCACTGCACAAGTTTAAAATGTTGCTACTGGAGGCTTTTTTTTTTTTTTTGTAGTATGCTTAGTCTCAATACAGAATTCTAAATTTATCAGGATGTTGGCAATGCTGCTGGCAGTATAAGGCACAGAAGAATAAAAATTGTCCAAATGCCTAAAATGAAGTGTAGTATCTGACTATATGCTTTAACCACCACAGACTGAGACTCTTTACCTTTTATGGGTGGCACCCCAAAAAACACTTATGCATTGATTCTTGAAAAAAACCACCCACCTTAATCTGGGTCAGTGCAGGCTATGTTTACTATATATCTCATTTACTTTATCTGATCCTCATATTTTCTCTCAGCCCAAATTTGACCCCGATGCTCAATGTCTGTTTTTTAACTTGTATTCTCTTTGAAATGTTTGCTCTAATTTAATATTTTAAATCAGTTTAGTATCAGATGCATTCTGTCAGCAGACTCCTTTCTATTTGTGTAGATGAATGGGTTGAATAGGCAAAGTTAAATTGTGCAACATTTGACATTATTAAACTAAAGACTTCTGTCTAAAATTGTATGAGTGAAGCATTTATGCTATGGAATTAATGCTTGGTAAAGGTGTTCAAAATGACTGGAGATATATATGGATATTTTCAAGGAGAAGCCATACTGTATAGATGTGGCCTGGCACTAGAGTCTTTGCCCGGGCAAAATCACCATTTCCAGGAAGTTTTGGCTGATTAGTCATCAGTGTTGGGATCAGAGGACATGTCTTTTTTATGTGGTATTGTAAATGTTATATGCATATTAAAGTTTGGGGTTTTCTCTTCCTTTATTGAGGACTGAGGCTGAACACACGAAAGAGGTTGTTAAACCATATGATTGGACCTATACGACAGACTACAAAGGAACATTATTAGGAGACACTGTAAAGTTAAAAGTGAGTAATTTCTTCTCGTTACATGCTTGTTGCATCATCTTGTGTATAGGGATATAATGGAATAACTGTTTAAATGGTTAACCAATAAGCATGAGCTTATCGGTTACCAGACAGTTAGACGCTGGCTCCCAGGCAGTCAGCTTCCACCTCTCACTGCTGGCTCTGTATCGGAGCTCGTAGCATGGGGTGGCAGTCAGCTCCCTCAGAGTGGGGTCAGGAGCCGGTACACTCCAGGAGCTGGCTTAAAAGTCTGTATCAGAGGCAGCAGTGTGGGACAGCAGTCGACTCCTCGGGAACGGAGCTGCAAGTGGGAGCCAGTGCATGCTGGGAGCTGTCTTAAAAGCTGGCTTCCTGTGTATGCCGGGTACTAGGGTGCAGTCTGCCACACAATGCTGTGGGCTCTGCAGTATAAAGCTTATATTCTTGGGAGTGGAGCCAGCAGCCGGGAGCTGGCTGCTGGCCCTGCTCCCAGGGAACCGGCTGTGCAGGCTCTGCAGTATAAACTTTATACTGCAGAGCCCACAGTGTGTAACCGCTAAGATTTTCAGTGGTTTCATGGTTACTTAATTGACTGCTTTTTAACATCCCTAATTGTGTGTAGGCTTACTGAAAAATAAAGCATGCCTTCTAAAGTAAGATTGCATAATTTTGTAGAGATCTGCTTTCAAAGTATGATTGATTTATGGAGACTCATATTTGTTAAGCAAACCACTGTTCACTTTGGGTAATAAAAAAAAAATTAGTGGTTTCAAAAATTTTCTGATTTATGTCCCATGGTCCCTTGTATTTGGAATATTGTATTTGTATTTTGTGTGTGGCTCCTTAATGCTTATGTTATCACTGCAGTTCTGAACTCCTTGAACTTGAAGGTCTCTTGTAATTGTGTAGAACTTTAATCATGCCAGCTGACTGTGACACTCTACTTGGGATGTAAGGGAGTAGTGGACTGGAGTATCGACTACTCACTCCCCCACACCTTTCTGTCTCTGTGAGAGGCAGCAAGGAGAGTGAGAAACGAGCCAGTGCTGTGGGTAGCCAGCTTAAAAGCCAGTTCCATCCGGCACCCTGTCTGTGGTGCCGCCTGCTCAATGAGGGGAGGGGAAGATGGGGAGGCTGCTGCTGCCAAGCAACCCCTGTTTGCAGTGGCCCCAGGCTGGCTGTGTGGGGGGCTGGGCCCCCAGC